GTATTGCATCATTTGTATTCTATCTGGCTTCTTGGTAAGAACTAGATTATTGCACCCTAAGTGGTTTCCGAGAGTTTTAATAGCCACTAACAGTAGACTAAATGTTGCGGCTCCGAGTAGATTTGAATTTGATGGAAAAGATGCCAAATGACTCTTTGAATGCTAAAGGTTGCCGACTTGCTACTAGAGAACCAACGGGCAACATGGTGACAAAACCACCCCAATCTATGCGGGAACACTTGGGGGTCCATACATTTTTGAATAAAAATTGAGCGGTCTACAGTAAAAAAAAGTTGGGAAGCCCTGATTTACAGGGTGATTATGTCATGTTGTTAGCCATTTTCATCTTTTGAATTTCAAAATGCATCTATGTTGGGAAGATCCATGGAGTCTACAAGATGCAAACCAATGTATTTTGTATTGTAACCAATGGTCGTAGTTTGATTACCATTATTAGGCTAATGGACCAAGCTTTGATTTAACACGAAAAAGATTTTGATTTGACATTTTTGTAAGAAATGAATAAAATATAGTATGTGCTTCTTTCTACTTTTGTTATCTTAGATAGTTTGAATTTCCTAGTGCGAAAAGCTATTTCATATAGTGTTCTTCATCAGGAAACCTCTGGATGTAGCCATTCTTTCGAGACAGAAGCTGGGTATGGAATCTTATATGCATGTAAAGTGATCCCATGCAATACAACCGGTGAAGGAGAGACGGCTTGGTCCAACACTGAACTATCTCGTGAGTTATTGTTAATGTTCATTTGTCAGCATTTATTTCGTTGTTTACATTCAAATTATTTGCTTCCATACTTCGGATAGATAGGGGCGAAAATTATATCTGAGACATGCATGAAGTTTTTCACTATTTCTGGTGCCAAGTATTCCGAAATTTGTACTTTTCATACAAACTTTTTGTTTCAATCACCATATTATCATGCCAACTTCCATAAACCGTGGAGAACAAATATAACAGTATGGCAGTTTCTGTGATACTGTGTGGGATGTACAATAGGATTGCTGAAATTGTCATGGTTACTGGATGGTTCTTCTTCTCACGGCTCAGTAATGGAATAGCTCGCAGACCCCTAAGTTTACCTTACAGAGCGCTGGGGCGTCAGATGAGACACTTTGAGAACATGTGCTTAACATCACTATACTCTAGCTTAGTGGTTCCCAAACATTTTTGATATTTTCCTCCTTTTGCTTATTTTGCCTTTATTCCTCCCTCACTATGTCTCCCTCCATTGTTTCTGTGATTCATTCAGTTTTTAATTGGTCTTTAGCTAGCGTTATGTTCAATTCACACTTTTGAATAGTTTATAATATAAATATGTATGATAACTACCATTTACAATATCAGCAAAACAGGCCGAATGCAAAGTTATATTTTCCCTTTAACAACAAAATTCCTCCTTAGAGATCTTACATGTTTTCATTTTAGCTCTTCTACCTCCGGAAAATCTGACGTTTGAGTTTAAAGATGATGGAATTCAATTCTCTTGGAAAAATTCAATCGGAATGTCATCAGCAAAAGTTCAACTCACAGATTTCGAGGAATTTAGCGAAACAAATATTACAAAGCAGAGTTCATGGAGTTTTTTCAAACTTTTTAATGAAACCTCCTATAAATTCAAAGTTTGGGCGGGAAATGGCGACCATCTCAGCAACCAATATGCATACCTAACTTTTGCAACAGGTAAAAACTTCGGTTGAAAAATAATTAAGGCATGATTCAGTTGTTCATAAGTTTAAGAAGGGAGGAAGGAAGTTTAGGAAGAAGTAAGGGAGTTTATTTGAGATTTAATGAGCATAACCGGGATCATCTTAGTACTAAATAATTAGTACCAGACCAAATTTATTGCATATTTGTTTAACTGGTTTAAATTTAAAGAGAACGAAAAAATAAAATTGGACTGTAGGCTTAATTAGGGTATTGAAACCATCGCAAAACTGCTTGCTAATTGCTTGCCGGTATCCAAAATTTGTGCACCAGCAAAGAAGTAAGAGAATGAATTTTTTTTCATTTCAGATGCATGACTTGATAATGAATGCAGTTATAACTGACTAGTAGTTACATTACCCCTTACAAAGATGAGATGTCTAAGCAATCTTGTCCCACATACCGGTAATTATCCCCCACAAAGTTCAATGCATAAACTTTGCAGGATGTGCTGTGGTGTGTTGACTGTAGTGTGCATCAACCATGGAACCTGTAATTTGACGCCGTTAACGACCAACTAATCCCTCTGATTCCTGGAAAAGACTGAATGAATTTCCTATTTTATATGACATATTTATATGCTTTTGCCCTAACCAAGGCTTTTTGTGAATAGCCACTGTTAAATAAGGTGCTACTAAACTTTGAAGGGGCACGATTCTTTTGATGATATGTCTTTAAAAGCCACTGAGTTACTGCCACTGCCAAATTTTAATATGCATAGCAATACGACGAATAATTATTAATTTTTTCAGCTCCAAGTGATGTCATTGTCAAGAGAAATGAAGAGAATCCAGAGACAAGCTTGGACGTTGAAGTTGTCACAAGACATGATGGCCCATTTACTTTGATCATCAATGGCGATGAATTTATGAGGATTAGGAGCCGGCATTACGTAATTGAAGATCGTCAACCTGCCACAAAATATGAGATTGGTGCTCAATCTATCTTTGACACAAACAAAAAGACATCAGTTACATTTGGGAAACCAGTAACAACACGTAAGTTGGGTTTTGTTTTGGCCAAATAAAGCAGTGCTAATTCTCAGGAGGATGACCATTCCTATCTTACAGATTCACAGAACGCAAAATACATTGATAATACATGCTAATAATATCTAACGGCACCCCGATTATTAGAACCAATTCCTCAGGACGTTTTTAATATCTTTACCTCAAGCCACAAATGGTAAGGGGACTGCATTGTTTTTTGAAGTAGTACAATGTCTCTTGATCTGCATATACTTCATTTTATTTTGCACCAAGATTCAAGCTTGATAAAAACTAAAATGAAAAACTTGGCAAAATTTAGCAATTTAATAAAATTATGTTATTGACAATTCCAGCAAAAGTATCTGGAGTTACTTGCCTCCCTATTGAAGACCTTGAAATGGGACAATTGTGGTAATCCGAATATCAACTATAAAATAAGTTGGTCAAAAGATTATATCCCTTGTCATCCCATTACTTGTGAAAATGCCGAACACAAGTTTGTTGATCTCAAGCCGGGAACTTATGAATTCAAGGTTTCTGCTGGAGGCGCTGACTCTGATCCCTACGTAGTTATTGGTTAGTAAGTTAGGAATAAGGTCATTGATGTCACGACTACTTGCTTCTATGAGATGTTCTCACATCTTCACTTCAAGCAAGGTTCTAAACCAGCTAGTGATAGGTAATATGCTAGTGTTTTAGAAGCCTCGGCGATGTGGCGACTTTGTGCTAAGCATTAGGAATATTCCACTGTGTGAGTTTGCAGGTTCGAATCCTATGCGGGGACAGTTAGGTGCGAAAAGGATTTCTGGGTTCTTACCACTGTAGGGTGGTTCACGTAACCACTGGTCAGATATAGCTCACTCGGTTCTATGGTTTGCCATATGATTCAGGCGTCTTATCACCTTTCCTGTCTTTCGAGATAAATATGTAAATCCTATCCCAAGTATCAAAGCTAGCCAGTTTAGCATTGTCTAAGCTTGTACTTGTACCCATTCACCGACAATCATTCAGTGCATATACAGGTCCGGTGTGAGGAAGAGGAAAGCCAATGAGACGCCTAATCATATGAAAAAACACAGCTTCTCATTCAGTTACCCGTATAGCCCAAGAACGTTGCAATAGGACATACTTTACATACATGTAGTTATGGGAAGTGGAGAGACAAAAAGACGACTTGATCATATGGCATATCACAGCTTCTCACATGGTTGGTTACCAGTCCATGTCGTATAGCCGCGTCGTAAAGTTTTTCTTCTTCTGGAATGAATATAAAATTCTGTTTTATTGCTATGTTATTCAAATTTGAATTTAATTCTATTTTGCAGTGCCAGAAACTCCTAAAATCAATGTTGAGATTCTCACAAGCAAATTGATGCACGTCACCTGTGATAATGTAGACCATGCCGACGAATACATTTATAAGATACTCTCAGACAATTTGGATACACTGAAAATTCTGGAAAGCAAAAAACCTGAATTGTGGATTGATGAACATAATTTCCAATTTCAAGTTGGTACCGAATATCTACTTGCTGTCCAAGCTTGTTGTCACGACGATAATAAACAAAACCATATGAGCCTTCCTTCGAAAAGATGGTTGTATACAGGTATGGATATATATGTTAACGGTTGGCACATCATGCGAAATGTTAGAAAGATGCTAAGATGCTTACAAAATAATCTCAGGGACTAGTAACCGGATAATAGCCATGGTTCGACATATGATTAAATCCTCTTATTGGCTTTCCTTCCTCGAATATGGAATTGTCAATTTATAATATAGAGCTTTTATAGTTAGAATTACTCAACAGACTCTGTCATGTATATCCCGGGGTGGAGCAACGGCTATGAAACAGCCTAATGGTGAACTTCATCATTTTAATCCTGGGTTGTGTATTGGCCAAAAATGTATCATAGACTCTATCTTGCCTGTTCAAAAAAAAATGGAAAATGGCTTTTATAGAATATTCCTATTCCTTCTAATGCCATTGAAAGACTGAAATATCGACTATGAGTTTCGAAATATACTTGATCATTTGTGATGGAGTACTCTGACCAGTGGTAACGTGAACCACCTCATCTCATGCTGAAATCACACGTCCCTTCAGTTTGGCCCTTGCAAGATTATCCATGGTAATCAACAAGTGCACGTTTCTAGCTCTTTGCACAATGCAACATAGAGCAAAAAAGTTTTGGATCTATTGTCATGACAACACAGTGGTAGTCTTAATTCTAAACTATAAATATATTTGAATTTGATGTGTTTTATCAGGGTTGGAAAAACCTATGGATTTAAATGTCAAGCTTGACAATGTCACACCAACGAGCAAAGCGGAATGCACATGGAACGAATCACCTGGAATGCTGAAAGCAAAGATACAAGTTCTGGATTCCCAGGAAAATGTCATCAAAGACTCGGAGACTCCAGACTTGAAATTAAACCTCTCAAGTCTCAAGCCTAACCAAACGTATGAAGTAAAAATTTGGCCTGGTGATGGAAAAATGTTCTTTGCTGATAATTGTGCAAGTTTAAAATTTGAGACGGGTATGTGTATGATTTTTATATTTGGTTCTCTATATTCAAAATGCTTTTTACAGCCGCATAAAATTGTATGTGCATCGTCGGCCTTCAAGTATTTAAAGTGCCCAAGCGAATCAAAATTCTAGTTTGCTGTCTCTTAACAGCTTCCCTCAACAACTTTTGTTTCTTTCAAAAACTAATACCCAAATAATGATATAATTATATCACTTCATTTCCATTACAGCTCCCAACCAACCAGACAAGGTGACTTGCACTCAGAACAAACAGGACAGAACCCATTCTATCGATGTTACAATTTATTCTGATTATTCTGGGCCTTTCATCGTCCATGTGTTGGACTCTCGCCGGAATATAGCTAAAGAACCGATAGAAACCAATGACAAAAGCATGACTGTAACCAACTTACAGGCTGGTGGGTCATATTTTATCTATGTCCAATGTAAGTTTGGGGATTATCTTACGGCTATGACACATGGTATGTATTGCAAATAAACGTTTGCTCTTTTGTACTCCTGAGAAATGAATCTAGTTTCTCTTGAACATCTACCAAGATGGCAGACACCGGAATGTAGTATGTGTACCCAGTTAGGGTCAGGCCTTAATTTTATTTTAATTTTTCTTATTTTAGTTCTATTTCGAGATCAGGGACTAGCCAAGTGACTCCCGTAGTATTTGTATCTAAAATTATGGCCTGACCCTAACCTGGTACACATACTACGTTCCGGTGTCCGCCATCTTGATATGCATACTTCAGCAGCGCCTTACAATTATATGATTGAGCTGTTTATAATATAATTAATCATAACTTTCCTTGATACCCAATTCAAGGAAGAGTTTTTTCAATTTCATAGTTGGAGCCCGTGAAGAGGTTGGCAAATATTTATGGAGCCTCATAATAAATTTATAAAAATGAAAATTTTCTATTGGAACTAGATAATGCCATATTCGAATTACCTGCCTTGTTGCAATATTCCCACAGTTGTCAAATTTTAATAATGTCATTATTGCCTCTTTGGACTGTTACAAAATTACCCAAGTCAGTATTTTGATAAGTAAACGAATAGCTCGTGGAGTCGCTATGTTTTCTCAGGGAGCCCTGAGGTTTCATGATCTGTTTTTATTAAATATGTGCCACAGTTATTAGCTTCTCATATATCATTATAGAACAAGTTCTGTAGTAATTTTTAGTGAATTTCAAATTTTTTCTGTAATTGAAAGTTTTTATTACCATTGTTCATTCCTAAATTTCTTATGCAGTTATGTCGATATTTTTCGTTATAAGTTCATTGTGTATTTTCATTTTAGCAAAAACGATTAATCACAAAGTAAAAACAGGGCCACACGACATTCCTCTTCGAGTATTGGCTATTGTGCACAATACGCTCACACTTATTCGAAACTGCGAAAGTAATTATGGTAGCATAGATGCCTTGGCAAGACTTTTTCCTACTGCTTAACAATTAATTCATAAATATTTCTCGCACTCCGGAAGTATGTGCACCAAGATGACGCACAACCTGAACCTGGTACACATACTGTGTTCAGGTTGATGCACATATTTCGGGAGCATCATATTTCTTTATTTACTGATACCAAGAAGTTAGCAAAATAAGTGACCATGCTAACACCCTCAATGTTTGTAATTATGTGTCAGTTTTTTTTAACTTCTAGTAAAAGCAAAGAATCGAGTTTAATGGAATGGAATTGTGAATATTTTTTTTCGAATTTTCTTGAAAATTTTGTAAAATGTGATTAATTTTGAACCACCAGCATTTTGCTTTATCATATGTTAATTCCATTATAATTATTATAATCAGCATCAATTATGGTTAATATAGGGTGGTAATTTTTAGTCTCATTGAACGATCAAAAAATTGCTCCCTAAAAAGGGTGGGATTCTTATATTTATTTCTGGTGATGGCAAAGACAAAGAAGATTATTATACGAGGTTGGATATTGAAATGGTCAACCAGATAAGTAATTTTTTACCGACCAACAGTGAAATCCCAGCAAAGGCATAGAGTTAACCAATCCGCCATTTTGGGATTCGAATCAACGAGACTACTTAGGGTAACAGTGGTGGGTTGAACCATATTCCCTAATTTTTCTCAGGAGTATTATGTGTTGATTTTTATCAATTTCTTGTGACAAAAATTAACGAGTTCAAATTTTATTGGATTCTGAATATTTTATTTTGCAGATATTGTGTAAGTAATTAATTTGATTACATTTTGGTTTCATCGTATGTAATTTACATTATATTTTATAGCAATTATCCGGTGTTAAAAGCTGTAATTCTAAAATAAATGCGTGATAAATCTCATGGTCTAGCTTTTCTTTGCAACTTGTAAAAATGGAATAATATTATTTAGACATAGTCAGCATAACAGACAATAAAATAGTTGATAAAACTGCTTTTAGAATCAGGAAAGCAAACAAAACCTTCTACCCGTCCACGAAAATAGGACAGGGTCGTATTTCATTTTTTATTGTCGAAAAATAATAGTAGGGCTTTGGGGGGGGGGTCATTTATTTTCATTAAAAAAAACAAAATTACAAAGTAGGGAATTTCAGAAATTTCAAGTATACAAAAAAGGAAAACCGATATTCATTTACGTATAAATAAAACGTTTTTGTTTAAAAAAAAACTGCAGGGTCGCGTTTCAGTCGAGGTTCAGGTCTTTGCGAGCGGTCAAAACTTGCTTTTTTTCAATAGTTTCCTATGTTCAATTGCGACTTTTTAAATAGGACTTGTTTATAAATTATTCTATCAAAAGCATAACTCGCTCTGGTTGCGACGTTGAACGTAGAACATCCCTAATTTAGTTAATCTATTAGTCCAGTGGTTCCCAAACTTTATAGAGTTGCGACCCACTATTTATTACCACAGTTTATGGCGACCCATTTATATTCTTTTATTTTATTTTTTTGTGACATAACACAGAACACAGCAATGGCTGATCATCGCAAAGCTACCGTGTTTCCTCGAAAATAAGACCTGGCCTGAAAACAAGACCTAATTTGAATTTTAAAAATGATTTTGATTAAACCCTACCCTCAAAACAAATTTAAAATGTGTGGGAGAGGAAAGGTTCAATGACCTGAGGTAAGGTGAAGATCACACCACAATTCAAGATTGCGTGATGTCACAAACACAATTGTGATATTTGTCACTTGATTTTTGTATAGGAAATACAAATAAAAACAATGGATGTCGGTTTTTATATAATGTTTATTGAAAATCTCGTGATTTTCTACAATGTAATTTTATTTTCAATAAATGAACACAAAAGACCTCTTCCTAAAAAAACATGGTGTTATTCTTCAAACAAAAATAAATCTAAATCCTGTCTAAATTTCGGGGAAAACGGTAAGAAGTGCTGTACAGTGTACAAAACTGCTATGCGTGAAAAAGCCACATGATCATTCTTTGTGTAGCAAATTTTTGTTCCTTTGAGAAGATCGTAAAAAGGAAACTTTCACAGATTAGAATTTAAATTCAATTAAATTTCTTTTGTTGGGGTAGGCCTTAAATAGGTTTATTTCGACTCTATAATCAGCATAAAAGGCGATTAAATGATTGATAAAACAAATAGATAAAAACTGATTATGAAATCTCGACGTAATACCTTAAATTCGAGTTAGGTGTATTTACAGAAATGCGTCATTCTATATATATTCTAATTTTGATATTTTATGTTGTTCAAGGTCATGTCTGAGATATCTGTATTGTTTTACCTCCATCTGATTTTAATTTGTATTAAGTATTTGGTAGTATTAAGATTTGCTAACAGTATAGAAAATAAATTTTGTAGCTGCAGAACGTTGTAGCGTAGGAGAAGGATTTAAAGCATTGAAGATAATGGAACATGGATTATATTTGATACGACGTTGGTACGTTGTATTGTGTACTTTAGCCTAAATAAATTTTTATCAGGGGAATCTAATAAAAAAAAATTCAGATTGATAATATTTATATTTTACACCCAAGTTGGTCATTTTAAATTTACAACTCGACAAACAATTCATTGAAGCTACCAATCAAATAACATGTCTAGGCCCCTAGGGTATATAAAGAGAAATTAAAAAAAGTTCATTTCATCCGAGATATCGAATGGCGTAATCAAAACGAAAAGTTCTATTCTATATATATGCTTTGTTATTGGTGGTTAACATTCAGATATTTTTTTCCGTCGTGCATGAAATATTGTACAAATAAACAGAAAAAAAATCAATTTAGAAAAAAAAAAACATAACAGATATACATTATTTTAACTGCAATGGACGAGAAGCCGCGAATCAACTATAAAGTTAACGTGTCAGCGACATCTACATTACAGTTGTTTTTTAGGGTACGGATTATGCGAGTAATCCAGAACATGTTTATGTAGGCCGATTGTTGAGTATGAAAATTCACGCACAACCAATAGGGATAATTCACACTGCGTTCGTTTTCGATTTATGAACATTTATATTGGAATGATATGTTGCAGATAATTTCGGGGAACTAATTATTGGTTACTAAACATCTCCAGGCCCCGAAGCAGTGGTTATTAAACTTTATTCGTGGCTCACTTCCATATACGCTCAACCCCAAAGTGAACTAGAGCTGCGTGCAGCTTTAACAGGCTTCCCGCGTAAAAAAAACTGAAGACGCGTTTTGCTCACTGGAGCGTGAATGCATGGTCAGTCATGCATAAAATTTGCAAATTATGATGGGGGACTTATTATCTGCATGTGATGTAAATTTCAAGTCTCTAAGTAAAGTCGTTCTCGAGAAGAAGATGAAAGTGTAAAATCCTATATTGCTCACTGGAGCGTATCGCCGAGGTCACTCATGCGTATCCTTGACATATCGTATCCGGAACATGTCCATTAATCATTGTTATGAATTTCAACCCAATAGCATGTATAAATTTTGAGAAATCGCAAAAAAACTGAAGACGCGTTTTGCTCACTGGAGCGTGAAAGCGTGGTCAGTCATGCATAAAATTTGCATTTTATTGCTAGCTGAGAACTTCTGCACATTTGAGGTGAATTTCAAGTTTGTAGGACCAATTTGAAAAAAAAATAATAATAATAATAAATAATAATAATAATAAATAAATAATAATAATAATAAAACACAGGAATACAATAGGTTCCCTGCTGACAAGCAGCGGGAAGCCTAATAATAATAATAAATAAATAATAATAATAATAAAACAAAGGAATACAATAGGTTCCCTGCTGACAAGCAGCGGGAAGCCTAAATATGATAATTTAAAATGTCATTAAAAGCACGTATCAAAAGTACAAATGTAAAAAATTTTCCCGGGAAAAAAATTGTGTGAAATTATTTTGAAAACTTTGACAACTACACGTTCTTTGAAATATCTAGAAATATATGTTTGATCATACAATAGTCATTAAAATTCAATGGATGTGGTTGCGGTCAAATTTGGATTTTTGAAAAAAATATCAGATGAATAGAAAGATGTACTAAATATTGTGCGGTTTACGAATTGCATGTGAGATTGTTTGCGAGAGTTGGGATACGAGCTGGATTGTTTTCGATAGCAAAAAGCTGAACGATTCATTCATTTGCCTTGCAATCGATATCATTTTAATTGTATGCTTAGATGTCCATCATGCGATGTCTTTTA